TGGAAACAGCAAGAGAACTAGAATTGGGAGCGGAGCCTGAGGATGGGACTGCACTGCTGCAAGCTCATGATCAAACCTGAACGGATGAGGAGTTGCTTCTTATGGATGAGCAAGGAAAGTCCTTTCTTGAGATGGAATCTACAATCCTGGTGGAGATGCTGGGATGATTGTTGAAATGACAACAAAGGATTTAGAATATTACATGAACTTAACATTAAAATAAAGATGACAAGCACCAGCAGGGTTTGAGAAGATTGAATCCAATTTTGAAAGAAGTTCCGTTGGTAAAATGCTGTAAAACGGCATCACATGCTACAGAGAAATCGTTCGTGAAAGGAAGAGTCAACTGGTGCAGCAAACTTCACTGTTGTCTTATTTAAGAAATCACCACAGACACCCCAAACTTCAGCAACCAACCACCACCCTGATCAGTCAGCAGCCAGAAACATGGAGGCAAGACCCCAGCAAAAGCTCAGATGCTGCTTAACATTTTTTTTTAGCAAGAGTATTTTTATTTTATTTTTTTTTAAGATTTTATTTACTCATTTGACAGAGAGAGACACAGTGAGAGAGAGAACACAAGTAGTGGGAGTGGGAGAGGGAGAAGCAGGCTTCCCGCGGAGCAGGGAGCCCAATGCGGGGCTCGATCCCAGGGCCCTGGAATCACGACCTCAGCCGAAGGCCAACTCTAACCCACTGAGCCACCCAGGCACCGCAGCAAGAGTATTTTTAATTTAAGGCATGTACATTGTTTTTAAGGATAGAATGCTATTGCACACTTAATAGACCACCATATAATGTAAACATAGCTTTGATATGCATTGGGAAATAAAACAATTCGGTGACTCACTTAATTGTGATACGCACTTTTTTGCCGCAGTCTGGAACCAGATCTGAGTATCTCTGATGCTGCCTGTACTTTCTTTCTCGGTGACAAAGCAGAGACAGTGCTTTCTGATGCCAGCAGTTCCTAGAAAATGTTAGGATTGGCGTCACAAATACAATTCTACCGATCACAACTAGAATCATTTCTAGACAACCATTTATTTTCATTTAACATTAGCTCCGGGTCCTGACCAGTCACCATCCTTGTCCTTTCCAACTCAGGGCTAGAGTTCTTTGATGGCTGAACAAGCTCACCAAGGGCAAAGCTGTGGAGCAGAAGTCTGGAATTTGTCAGCCCTTGCGTTACGTGGTCACGCTTCATGGGGTTTGCTGCCCACCCTCCTCGCCTCCCTTGACTTTCTCCTCCCTTGATATGTGTTTCACTTCCTGCTCCTGTCCCTGTCATCTCACCTCCTTGGCTGATTTCACTTTATCCTTCAAAATCACTTCTCAGTTTTTTCCTCTCTCCCCAGAGTCTCCCTTGGGACTTCATTCACCCATGACTTTGACCATCACTTCTACATACGTGATGCCTGAATCAGTAGCAACAGTCTTGTCCTAAACATCAAGCTGCAGCTTCCAACTGCCTTCTGGAATCTATTTCACACATTCTTTAAACTGCACCTGTCCAGATGTGCCCTCTCTCTCTGTCCCCACTCCAGTTCTGCTTCCTTCTTTCTAACACAGTTATTGTCACCATCCACCATGTAAACCTTGGGTGTGGAAAAGAATTAACCTAGCAGACCAGAGACCGCTAACGTTAGAAAGTTTTGCTTACGAGATTAACCATTGGCTGGCATCTAGGGACTTGGCTAGTAAACCGTTCCCTACACTGATCTAAAGCCTTCCTGAAATGACAATGGCTCACTGTGTCTGACCTGTTTGTACACAACAATGTGGTTTATGCTGAATGCCTGTTTTCCTTCTGGAAGTCTGGAATTTTGGTAAATGCTAGGCAGAGGGTACCTATGTGACCAGCTCCCAGTTGAAAGCCTGGGCAAGTCTCTAATGAGCTTCCCTCAGTAGACAATAACTTGTCGATGTTGCCACATCTCGTTGCAAGAGGAATTGCGCTCCTCCTGTGTGAATCCACTGGAAGCTTGGTTCCTCCATCTTCTCTCCATTTCTCTTTCCCTTTGCTGATTTTGCTATCGATCCTTTTGTTGTAAACTTAACCATGGTTTTGACCACATGATGAGCCCTGGGAGTCTTTCTAGCAAATCACCCAACCTGGGGGAGGTCCTAGGGTCCCCGGCACATCTTAGTATAATCCTAACCCTCTTTTCCTTGCTCTCTATGTTCAATTAATCACCAATTATCATTAGATCTACCCCTAATTTTAAATTTTAAACATTTTTTAAAATTTATTTTTAATTTTTTTTTTAAAAGATTTTATTTATTTGACAGAGAGAGACACAGTGAGAGAGGGAACACAAGCAGGGGGAGTGGGAGAGGGAGACACAGGCTTCCCGCGGAGCGGGGAGCCCGATGCGGGGCTCGATCCCAGGACCCTGGGATCATGACCTGAGCCGAAGGCAGCCGCTTAACGACTGAGCCGCCCAGGCACCCCCCCAAAATTTTTTTTGTTTTTAAAGTAATCTCTACGCCCAGCGTGGGGCTCAAACTCAACCCCGAGGTCAAGAGTCACATGCTCTATGGACTGAGCCAGCCAGGCATCCCTCTACCTCTAAATATTTAAAATATATCCTGTGTTCACCACCCTCATTGCCTTGAGGCTACAACTGTGACTGCATCTGGGCATTACTCCCCTTGCTTTCCTCCACTACAGAAAGCAAAACCCCAAGATTGGAGAACAGCACCAGGCCAACGCTATGAGGAGGTTCTCTCTCAAAGCCAGTTTCCTCAGGTGCAAGATGTGGATAATGATAATGCCTATTTCATAGCGTGGCTGTCAGGGGAAAATGAGAAAATGCGTATGAACTTTTATGAGACTCTCTATGTAAAGTGCTTAGCACATAACAATCCTTCTATTTCTTTTTTTTTAAAGATTTTATTTATTTATTTGACAGAGAGAGACACAGCAAAAGAGGGAACACAAGCAGAGGGAGTGGGAGAGGGAGAAGCAGGCTTCCCGCGGAGCAGGGAGCCCGACATGGGGCTCGATTCCAGGACTCCGGGATCATGACCTGAGCCGGAGGCAGACACTTAACGACTGAGCCACCCAGGCGCCCCACAATCCTTCTATTTCTATTGATGTTATTCATGATCCGCAGACCGCACCGGTCACTACCCCTGAGGCTCAGCCAGTTCTAGCATTGAAACCACTTTGTGCAATTAGGACCTCAATTTCTTACCCTCTAATCTGCAGTGCAGGCCCACCCCAAAGTGTATCTCTGTGGGATTCCAAGTAGCCTGCCATTTGGGGGAGTGCTCTTGTCCTCTGACTAGGTCTCCTGTGTGGGAGAATGATGAGACAAAACTTTCTTGTGGTTGCCAAGGGTGGGGGCAGCAGGGGAGGGGGGAAGCCAGAATGGCCATGGAGTTCTCCAGATACCTGATGTTATCGATGCAAATATTTACAGTTGTGCAAAACCATCAGTTATTGCAGACAACAAAGCTACTGCATGGGACTGAAGAGCCAGCAGCACCACGGGTAATAAAAATAGAAATTAAGACACACACAGATCAGTATATGGTGATGGATGTGTTAACTAGAAGGGGGGAATCCTTCCACAATGTCTATGGATAGTGAATCATCACAGTGTACATTTCTGTTTTCAAAGTTTCTGTTTTAAGTATCTTCCATGATTCTCCCAGGAATTTTTGTCTGAATGAGAAACCTTGTGGGATCATTACAAAAGTTCTCCATAGTTGAAATAATGAAATCATAAAGTTTAAAGATCTACTCAGGCTTCCAAGTATCAATATATTTACCAACAAAGCTGAATTACTCACTCTAAAATTCCATGCTATTAAAAATCACATAGAAATAACCCACTTCTGATTAAAAACAAACAGGAAAAAAGACCAAAGGCAAGTTGGGTAGTACATTATTTTGAATTAAAACATGGAATATGTCATCAAACAAATGGATGTATTGACAACTTTTTTAGCTCAATTAACAAATGATTTGCATAGGAATTGCTAGTTCTGTCTTAGGATGCAGAGCTCATTGAATTGTGAATTAGATTAACATAAAACAAGAATAAAAAAATAACCATTTACCTGTATGCCAAATAAATGCAATTTTACTTCAAATAGCAGATTTTTGTTCAGTCTTTGGTGAGTGGTTAATATAATCATCTTCCCTGCTATGGATAATGTCATAATCTCACCAGACCGAATGTGATCCTTCTAAACTAGAGACCTCTTACCTATAGTAGGAAAACCTCCATTAAGTATTGTTAAAGCTACTGGATCCATTTTTATGGTCCTAGGATTGCTCAACATTTTCTGCTTAAAACAATGGGCCAAGGACAACATATCTTAGGGAAAACACTAAGTTTGTGATTTCATCCCATTTTGTCTTTTAGAACTTTGTTATTACTGTCCATCATACTGTTTTGATTTATATCAGTGATGAGCAACCAGTTTTGGCCTAAGGGCTAACAAAGGGGGAAAAAATGGAAAACATTTAAGACCACACTATTTCCTTTTCAAAATGAACATAGTTTTATGAAATTCCCGTGGGGGAAGTGTATTTGTACTACTTCGCTAAGTAAAGGAAAGTCAGTGAAGAAATTGGCACTGCTTTTTAGCTACTAAAAGGTTTATATCCGGGTATTTTAGCAATACAGACAGAACTTTCTTTAATTTTTTATCCAGAAATTAGATTGCAGACTTGTTGCATAGTTAGGCTGTAGACATCTCTGGGGGCTCTGTGGCTTGCTCATTACTGCCTTTATTGACTAAAATAAGCTGATTTTTGTTGATTGATTATTTTATTGATCATAACAAACTTTAAGAGAATATATTCTAATTTCAAAAATTATATTCCATCGCTTATTGACTTAAAGATAATGCTTTTAGTACCACTGCAAGTTGGTTAAAAAAAAAACAACTTTGGCGACTGCACTTCTTTCCATCTTAACATGTCTTTACACAGAACATTGGCTGGAAACCAGAACAGAACATGAAAAGAAAACTAAAGAATATTTAAATAACAGAAATACCATCAGCGTTTATTATGGTAGATTATAGAAAGATGGTCTAATCTGTGAGTGTGCAATTAGGCACTGCCTGAGGCATTTAGACACCATTGATTATAAAGTGCATTGAACGTAAATTTTGACTCCCCTCCAAGGAATAATTCAATAAAACTCAGGTTTCTTTCTTGGAATCAATCAGCTCAAGAACATGCATAGATGAACACTTATTAAATACTAATAACAGTCTTTTATTACTTATACTCCTGCAATAGAATAGCAACATACTGTACTTGTATATGTCACATTTTATCCAAGGACCTCAAAGTCATTGGGTCAAGCAATAGGATTACACAGCATATTAAGTTACTTAGTTATGGCATGGGAAGCGGATTCCCAACAATAGAACCAAAATAAAAGTTCAAAGAGACAAGCCTACATTTCCTGTGGTTTGTAATTTTCTGAGTTTCCAAATTTGCCACTCATATCCTACCGTACCTACCATATTGATTCTAGGTAAAAATGATTTTTTATGTGTTAGGAATGAGATGAGGATCACCTCGCAACTAAACAATTTCTCTTTTTTATAGTTCAACAGTCCATCTTGGAAAATCACATGGTGGAATGTCAGAAGTGGCTCTGTAATGTAAATTTACACATCATTGCTTCAGAATCGTGGTTATGATCTTTGGGTAGAAGAAAACATTTTACGCTGGAAGGACATACATCTTTGTGTAAAATATGAGGAAGCTATATCTCTTAGCACACTTACAATTAACACAAAAGCAGAAGTGCTTTGATTCACTGAAGATCACACTTTCAGTCTTTTAAAGGCTTTCATCATCTTGCTTAAACCTCTTCCAGGGTTTAACTCTTAGAGTTTAACAGAGAGACCCAACTTAGTGTGGTTTAAAATGAGTTTCTGTGGACTCCACGAATCTGGCAGGCCCCACAGCATTGGGGTTACTGGCCAGCATGAGAAGCCCATGAAAGTGAGGGCAAGGGGTCCCTGAGCCTTTCTGTTCTTGACTCGGGGCACAGAGCCCAGCTCTCCTTGGTCAGGGACCCAGGGTGGGCATTCTGGGCATTTCCTTGCTTAAAGGAATTTCCAACACTATTTGAAAAGCAATTTCTTTTTGGGCAATGGGGTTTCTATCTTTCAGTGAAATATGGAACTAAGTTAGCTCTTCCTGTGTCCTTCTTTACTTCGGAGGAGACGCAGTATACGTTCATTTTTGGTTAGTTCTGCCGGAAGTTCATTGGCCTGAAAGAAGACAAGACAGGCATTGGTGAATTCTCACAGTTGGGATGGTTTTAGGGACTCCAAAGAGGGGCCCCTCACCCAAACTTGCTCCTCTGCTGGTGAAAAACCCCACTGGACTCACTCTTGTTTTAAGGCCTTAAAGGTCTCCTTTAATCATATAAATATCATCTGCTATTTTCTTATCTCATCGTTAGAGTTATTTTTCTAAGCCATATCTCTAGTACATTGTGATCCCCTGGAGGCCAGGGTCCATGTATGATTAATCGTCGTATCCTCATTTCCAGCACAATGCCTGGTGCATCTAGTATGTCCTCAATAAATACTGGTAATGTTAATTTTTTTTTTTTAAAAGATTTTATTTATTTATTTGACAGAGAGAGACACAGCGAGAGAGGGAACACAAGCAGGGGGAGTGGGAGAGGGAGAAGCAGGCTCCCCGCAGAGCAGGGAGCCCGATGTGGGACTCGATCCCAGGACCCTGGGATCATGACCTGAGCCAAAGGCAGTCGCTCAACCAACTGAGCCACCCAGACGCCCGGTAATGTTAAATTTGATACTTTATATTTAATTAGTATGGGGCAGCGTGTCCGCTAGGGACCTGAGATTCAGGACAGGTATCTGTTGAGAAAACAGAGTTAGGAGGCATTCAGAGAATAAGAGATACCTGGTTAAGAGCAGCTTCTGTGGTCACCACTTCCCCCCATCCCTGGGTTTCACTGAATGTCCTTTCTTCTCATCATGCTGCTGAGACACATTCTTTATGCATTTATTTCATGAGTGGGTCCTTACCCCATGCAATCGACGTTATGGGGCAGTGGTTCTCAAACTTTTTGTTTTCAGGACCTTTTTACACTCTTAAAAATTATTGAGGATCCCAATGAGCTTTTGCTTTTAACTTCTTAGAGATGAAAAGAAGAACATTTAAAAATACCATAATTCATTAAAAATTGTAAATGCACTAGGGTAACATAAATAATACTTACGAAAAACAACCAAATTTTCAAAAACAAAAAAGCTAGTGACAAGAGTAGCATTGTTTAATAGATTTGCATATTTCCTGAGTGTGGAGCTTAACTGAAGACATTTGGATTTTCTTATCTGCTTCTGTATCCAATCTATTGTGATACGTTGTTTTGGTTAAAGCATATGAAGAAAATTCAGCTTTGCACAGATAGGTAGTTGGAAAAGGGAGAAACATTTTAACAGCCTCTTCAGATCGATGTAGATATCCTCCTTTGATACACCCACACTAAACAAGGGGTAGTTTCTTAAAGGTAACCACAGTGCGGAATCTGAAACCATATCAATGAGGTTTTTACATTAAAAATCCATAGATCTAATTATCTACAGCTAGGATCTTTCCCCATGTATGATTTATAACCTCACACACTGGCCATTTGGAAAATGTTAGTTCAATGAGATATGCCAAATGTTGACACATTGCATTATACAATCTCAAAAGATCACCTTCATTAATATTAGTGCTGATTCATCAGAAAAGCCTGTATTAAGAAGCTGTCAGACTCACGTGGTGGATACCAGTTGTTCTTTGAAGAAAAAATGGCGCTCTATGAAAAAGCAACTGGCCCACTTTGCTATTCAGACAATGGCGTGAGTGCTTTTCCCTGAGACAACCATTGCGCCTCAGTATACGGCAGAAGGGCTGGATGCATACTTCCATTTCGTTATGTAGAGTATTAAAAAGATGTGTAACAAGGGTCCAGATTTAATAAAGTTGAAGCTGTTTACTGCTTCATCAAAGATGTTCTTAAGTAAGTCTGGTATTTGTGTAAAATAATTTACAAAATCTGTACAATGACCCACAGAGTTTTGTAGGATCATTTGCTGGTTTGGTTCCTACCCCTGCTTTGATGTGCAAGGTGCCAATAGTTTCACCCACCATTGCTTTTACACCATTAAAGCAAACGCCAGCGCGGTGAAAAGGGCAAATAACATCTTTGTATTATTAAGTGTGCTGTTTTGACTTCTTAAACCTCTTGAAAGGGTCTTGCAGACCCTCAGGGGTCCACAGACCATACTTTGAGAACTGTCGTTACAGATGAATCACGGGATGTTCTTGGGATTTCAGGGGAGGCAGTTAAAAGGGTAGAAAGGCACCCTGAATAGGGGAGAGGGCTTGGATGCAGATGTTACCTGTCTCACATATTTTTTCCTCCCATGGCCACACCTGGAACCCCCCTGCTTTATCTGGGACCCCGATCCTAGGTGAAACTCCTGAATTCCCTACCTTCTAGGTTGGGTCCTGCTCTTTGACCCCCACCTGCTAGCTGGGCCCTCACTTGTTGGGCATTATGCACAGAGTTGCTGGGAATTATGTTTGCCACAAAAGGTGGTCTGCTGCACAGCATGTCCTGTGGCTACACCCCAGCCCCCACAAGGGACCCTTGATGCTGATGCTGGATTGAATTGAGCAGGAAATGACTATGCTATGTTGCTATACACCAGAGGCCTCTCTAGAGGCTTCAGATTCTATTATTGGTTCCTGCAGGAACAGACATTGTACAGGCCTCATGCCTGGGTCTGCACAGAAATGCCCCTGGTAGATAGACGTAAGCTCCATCTAGTCTTGGAGTATATTCAGGAATAACGGAGCTGTTTCATGTGGGTTATTGGTCCTTGGTGAGCAGGTTGGCAGGTAGCCAGAGGATCCTCTATGGTCAGGAGGAAGAGGAGATCTAAGAAGCTGTACTTTATCTACAAGCTTGCTGAGTTACAGCTCCCGTGTGTAATCTTTACCACTGAAAAAGGCTTTATATCCTCAAACCCTGTTGTCACGGTTTGGTCAATCGCATTGCTGCTCCATGTGTCATCCATATAGTTCTAAAAACCTGGTCTCATGCCTCCTCTCTCCAGGTTGGTCCCCACTGACTTCTCAGGTTGCTGAGGTTGTATGGACTATTATGATGGCTAGTGCCCTAGGCTAGCCCCCAAAGGCCATCTTATTCATTATGGAGCAGGACCACAGGCCCTTGTTCATGATACCACAGCATCAAAACACTCTCTTTCCCCACTGCTCCTGGGAGAACCTGTGTTCTGAGTCCTCAGTTGGGAGTATTGGGAACACGGGCTGGCACCCATGGGGACAGGTACAGTGTGGGGAGTGGCCATTGGGGCCGTTGGTTACCCTCTCTTGAGGCATCAGTGTCACAGTCCCAGAGCAGAACTCCACCCCTGGAGTAGAAGATTGCTTCTGTATTAGCTTAGAAGTCATTTCCTCTGGGAAGCCTCCCGTAGCATCCATTACTCCCTACTGATAGCTCGTGACTGTATTGCAATTTTTTTTTTTTTAAGATTTTATTTATTTGATAGAGAGAGATGGAGAGAGCCAGAGAGCACAAGCAGGGGGAGCAGCAGAGGGAGAGGGAGAAGCAGGCTCTCCGCTGAGCAGGGAGCCTGATGTGGGACTCGATCCCAGGACCCTGAGATCAGGACCTGAGCTGAAGGCAGACGCTTAACCGACTGAGCCACCCAGGCGCCCTGTATTGCAAATTCTTGTTTAATTGTCTTCATTCCGCAGTAAACTCTGAGCTCTTTGAAGGCAGAGACAAATGGGAACTCCATTCACCACTGTCTCCCCAGTACACAGCACCGTGTGTGTTATCTAGTAGGTACTCAGTATGTGTTGAATGAATGAAGGCGAAGAATACCGCCTTCAAGAGTCCTGGGTGGCTGCCTGAATCCCAGCACCCTTGCTTCTAGAGCTGCCTCTAAGAGGCTGGCTTCTTTGGGGTGGCCGGTGGATGGGTGGGATGGGGGTGGGGTTCCCTGGCAACAACTCCCAGCTCTCTAAGGGCTGCTGGTGTATGAAACTCCGGCGTGAGCAGTCTCTCTATATAGCTCTATATATTCAAGTAACTTTAGGGACAATCCAAAGTCCAGCATTTTGGTCACTGGAAATTCCCCATAAACCTTATTGCTGAAATCCCAGGAGACAAACAAAGAATTGCATGTTGTTTCAGTTTCCATAGCTACTGGATGGCTTAGCAAGAAAGATCAATCTCTTTAAGAAGTCTGTGACCAGGGTCTAAAGATAAGAGCATAGCTGCTTTCAGCTGCCTTATCACACAGCCAGGCCAGCTAATGGAAAACAAATCGGAGTATCTCAGGAAGAGATAAGCAGATCAAGCACTCTAATGGTAAGAACAAGGAAATAATAACTCCACATGCTAAGAAAATGAAAATAAAAGACTCTTGGCATGTTGTCTAATTGCACCTCTTAATGGCTCCTTTTCAAAATGTCATGAAAAAGGTTCTATGTGTTTGCTTTTATTATTAAAGAAATTAACACAGCAATAGATACTTACAAAAGCTCAAATAGCATATACGTATAAAGTGAAAATTGCTTTTCATACCTTCCTTTATTGATAAGCACCACTCCTACTTCCTCCTTTATTTTTTTTTCAAGATTTTATTTATTTATTTGACAGAGAGAGACACAGAGAGAGAAGGAACACAAGCAGAGGGAGTGGGAGAGGGAGAAGCAGGCCTCCTGTGGAGCAGGGAGCCCGACACGGGGCTCGATCCCAGGACCCTGGGATCATGACCTGAGCCGAAGGCAGACACTTAACGACTGAGCCACCCAGGCGCCCCTACTTCCTCCTTTATTTTTATTTTTTTAAGATTTTATTTATTTATTTGACAGAGAGAGACACAGAGAGAGAGGGAACACAAGCAGAGGGAGTGGGAGAGGAAGAAGCAGGCTTCCCGCTGAGCAGGGAGCCCGACCCGGGGCTCGATCCCAGGACCCTGGGATCATGACCTGAGCCGAAGGCAGACACTTAACCGATCAAGCCACCCAGGTGCCCCTACTTCTTCCTTTAAAAGTTCATATTTTAGTGTTCTCTCAAGACCTTCCCTCCCCCAGAGATGCTGCCCTCCTCCTCCAAGGTTCTACACTTGACTGCTAATGCAGATGTCGAATAGGAAAAAATGGGTATTGGGCATCTTCCCACCTCCACGTTTGACCTAACTGTAAACTAAGGATTTTGGCCTATAAAAATATGGGTTGGTTCAGAACAGCGGCGCAAAGTCCTGTTAACAGTGTAAGAGCAACATTTCCCCCTTTCTCTTCTACTCTCCAAAGAAAGTTCAAGCAGTTGTCAAGATATGCACATCTGACGTATTTAGGATAGCAATAAACTACCAGGGCTTTGACTTTTTTAGGACACTTCTCTGATGATGGAACCCCATAACTCTACTCCCCGCAATTACTACTCCCCACCCCGTCTTGGGAGGCTGCACCATTGTTAGCTCACAACCACGGATGATAGACACAGGGTTTTTAGCATAATTCTCTGGATCCAGATGCACCGCTCATCCTACTACTGACAGCCTGTATGCCCTCACTATGCTGAGGTATGAAGAGAGGGGCTGGGGCCAGCCTGAGGGATGAGACTCCTGTCGGAGCTTTGCTCTTCCTCCCAGTCCCTTTCAAAGGCACGTCAGCATCTAATAGAGTGTCCTTAGGTCCACAGCACACAGCACTCAGTCTAAGTACTGCCAATGTTTTTTTTCCAAGTGAAACGAGAAATCTGGCCCAGGGTGCACGGGACGGGTTATCTTGGCTTAGGTAGAAACTGCCTATCTCTTTGCACAGGTGCCCAGAGGAGTTAAAACATAGGGAAGGAAAGGTTGGTACCTTGTTTCTCAGGGCTGGGTCCGCCCCTGCTTCCAGGAGCAGCGCGACTGTTTTAGTATTCCCACTGAGGACTGCCGCGTGGAGGGCCGATGTCCCATTCTAAGAGAAAACGACAGTGTGTGTCAGGAGTGGGCTCACAGCCATCAGCACCGAGCCTGGCTTTCATCATGAACTAGCCTGAGTGAGGAGACCCAGGTTGGAGCTTTGCTCTTCCTCACAGTCCCTTTCCAAAGCACATCGGCATCTAATAGTGTCCTCAGGTCCACAGCATATGGTCAGTACACATACTGCCAACGTCCTTTGGCAAGTGAAGCCGGAAATCTGGCCCGGGGTGCACGTGACTTCCGGATCAGTCCATCAGTTTTAAATATATTAGAATTTGCCGCAGCAAAAGCAGTGATGCTATGTCAAACATTTTGCCTTTTTCTTCAAGGACAACTTATATAGTTTTCATGCTTCCAGCGAGGCTGGCAAGCCAACAGGCCGACCTGTCAGCCCAGCTACCTGCACTCCACTCACTCAGGTGGGTGGGAGCACCACTGTGGGGTTACAGAGCATGAGCGTGCGGGGTAAGGAAACCCCCAAGCCCTGAGGTGGAGAATTTTTGAGCATAGAAGGGTCCGCTGGGTGGGTTGCTGACATTTTATGAAATGTACTGCAAATATTTATTGAACTAAGGAAGCATCTATGTGCAGCACGTAGCCAGATTCTGGGAGGGGAGAGGAAGAGAATGTAACAAGCCTGATATAAGAATGATGGGCAGTCACATGACAACTGTTCTGTAGACATGCATATGTCTACAAAAGCATCTAAATGCAAGCTTATTTTCCACATTAGCTACTTATAATAATAACAATAAGCTACTTTATTTTATAAAAGACTAAAATACAATGCCCATAAAAAAATTCCAGCAAAGTAGCATTTTCCTTTCCAAAGCAGCATGTTTGCTTTTTAACATGTATGGCAACTCACTTGTCTGGTAACATTTCACCCATCTAAATTTTCACCAACTTGTCAACTTCATCTATTTGCAACATGGCTAAGAATAAAATACCAAGCCGAAAAAGAGCTCTTTGAAACGAGATAGGTATTACAAAGTCCATTTCTGAAGCTCATTTCTTTTATTCATAGAGAGTTCCCTTTCATAGACCATTTATTCTTACTTTACATACAGTGTTAATGAATGTAGGTTTCCCGCTTCCAAGCTCATGGAAGATTAGAAGTCGCTCAGTGGGACAGAGAGAGGGGCCAGCATTCTGACAACAGCAGTCCTGTATCAGCTGATCACGAGACTAGAGCCTAAATATATAAAGATCCGATACAGAGTGTCCAAAAAGCCTCTGGGATCATTCAAGGACAGGTTGACTTTTTATACATCAATAAAGCCCGAGGAAACATCCCCCAAAATGCTAAGCAAACTACAGCCTGTGGGCCAAATCGAGCCTGCCGCCTGTTTTTCTACGTCCTAACAAGTTAAGATTTAAAAAAAAAAATAAATAAAAGAATACTACATGAAAATATGAAATTCCAGAAATCCAATGTCCATAAATAGTGTGTTAGTGGAATGCAGCCATCCTTTGCCCCCATGGCTGCTTTCATGCTACAACAGTAGAGTTGAACAGTTCCAACAGAGACTCTATGGCCCATGAAGCCTAAAATATTTACTCCCTGGCCCTTTATTGAAAAAGATTGCCAACCCCTGGTATACACTGTAACTGAGAAATATCTTAGTCTGAAAGGGTTAAAATTTAAAAAAGGGTTTTGGGGCTCTGTTTCCTGGCAGACCCAGCTTTCCAGAATGACACATTCTTTGAGGTGTCCAGATACGTGAGGCTTATTTTCTTTCACCTAAGATAACAATGTGGTTCTTTGCTGCAGATAACGAAGGGAAGAAACATGAGCACCTGTCCCCCATGTTTCCTGGGACACAAATCATGTGTTTCATGAGTGGTGGAAGATTTTAGTCCAATGATATATATATCAAGATAGTTTACTTTCCAAGGTAGTGATTTAATTACTACCAATTTTTTTTTTTTTTTTCTGGGAAACTAAGTAGCAACAGACTCTGGTTCACTCTTCTTACCACCCTGCCATTTCAACCAGTGCTAATGAATCTCCAACATTAAGAAGTTGTAGGTAAGTTCTTTCAAGAATGCAACTAACCATGTGAATTACACTCAGCTTCTGCAGTGCTCAGGTATGGGCTTCTTAATTTTTAGCCTCTCTTTTACAGATTGGTAAAATTTCTCTTTAAGTCTTACCTTCAAAATACCAAGGGTGGGTGAGAATTTCAGCAACTCTTCTATAACATCGTTATAGCCTTTGTTGGCTGCTTTGAGTAATGCTGTTGTACCATCCTTAACAGAGAGGAAAAGAAAAGTTGCCTATTAACGTGTGTTGGCTAAGAACTAAATGTTAGTTGAGAACCGGGAATATGCTTGTCAGAACAGGTGAAAGGAGTAAACCAAAGTATGAGCGGGCCACGTCTCTTAATCTAGGAGCATTTTAGAGCATATTCAGTTCTGCCTGAAAGAATGCTAGACGAAATATGTGACTTATTATCTTAGAACCCTGCCATTTGGGAATTCAGACTCTTCCAGTCCCTTAGGACACTGGGTAAGGGGCGAGGGGAATATCAAGAGTATATTTTAGGACACAGATGGACCAAAGAGGCATTGTCTGCAGTTCGTGACTTAGTGGAAATTAATGTTAAACTATTTTTAATGACTTAAATAATTACCGAACTGTATTTACTGTTTTACATTTTGAATCTGCTTTTCTTTTTGCTTTGTCTTATACACAACCTTGCTCTACTGTGCCCTAGGTATCTGTCTGTGGGGGTTGGGGGTGGGTAGGTGGTGAGTAGGAAAGGGATAGATTGAAATCTGTTTAAAAAAAAAAAATGCAAAAACGCAAAAATTTATATTCAGCTTCTGTCATCACTTTTTGGCCTGGGAAGAGATTTTCCAAATTCCGTTTTTTCCCCCTGCTTTTACATATCAATTGCTGTATTTGGAGGATTCAGCTCACAGAATTCTGTAGTAAAGGAAATATCCCAGCCTGCTCTAAATGTTTAGCTGGAATCAGGAAGAAAGAAAATGAGATTAGAGGGTTTTTCTTTTCTGGTTTCAGAGATGTGGGAAGAAGAGATAGAGTGGGAGAGAGGACAGTGAAGTAGGCAGGAATGTGTCTTTACCCCTTTCTGGGCTCAGACATGAAGAAGGGAGGTGGGTCACATACGCAAGGGTAATACTTACAGACACTGTAAGAACCAAACCAAACCAAACCCAAAAAGCAGATGGCATAGTGCGGTCAGGCAGCAGGGTCTTCCAAGCTGCCCTTAGTTTCTATGGGCCACAGGGCCTTCTGTGGCGCCCATCGAGGCAGACTTAGGTGACATTAGCATTATTAGGTGGAGGCCAGTGGCGGATGTGGTGCAGGGGTCTGCAGCTGGGGAAGCCGGATGAGGTGGAGCCCCAGGAGCACTGCTGGACCCCAAAACACAGAGGTTGCGCCCCGACCTGCACTGCGGTCCAGGGCCAGCAGGAGGCGCAGCTCAGGCGTACCCGCAGCCGCTAGGGACAACCCCAAGGACAGCCCGAGGCCGGGGCTCCTACCTCCCGCATCCTCCCGGTTTCATCCAGGAGTCAGCTCAAGTGGAGGAGGATCTCCGAGGATGAAACATCTTTCCCTTAGGGAGACTGGGTAGCACTTGCTAAGTTTCAGCTGACTCGAACATTTACTTTGTTTTCCTGCTGAAGAGCCGGTGGACGTTGGGAGAAAACCCAGGGGAGATACAGATCAAATAAAGGCGCGTTTTCTCCGCACGTCAGGGTTGAATTTTGGAGCTCCGTCGGTACATGCACTACCCGCGCCCTACAACACCCCCCCCCCCGTCCCGCCCCAGCCCCCATGCGCCGCAGCTGAGGCTCAGACTCACGTTGCGGGCGGCATCCCGGTCGGCTCCGCGCAGCAGCATCACCCTCACCACCTCGCTGTGGCCCATCTGCGACGCGATCCACAGTGGCGCCGTCCCGTCCTGCCGGCGAGGGGACACGCTTGCTCCCACCGTGCCACCCACCAGCCGCCGAGCAGCAAGGTAGCACCCACAAACAACCTCCCGACGACACATGAGGACGGAGATTTTAACGCATTTACACAGACGAGCATTTGGTAGTGCCTGGAACACTTGCGTGATTGCCAATATTTGGGTTTGGGCTTATAACAGCCATTTTATGGCAGGATCTTTGGGCTCATAGTATGGTGCGGGACTTCAGGGAACACGGAGTGGGAAAGCGGTTGAGTTGCTCACCAAGGCAGAACCAGATTTTACAAACCCAGCGAGGAGAGGCCAGCATGTGTTTATTTCCCCCAGATTCTGTCAGTTTGTTTGCTTTACTGGTGGGTTCACACAACACACTCTGCTTAGTGTGGGCCCTCGTTCCCACAGGAGAGAGGGCAGTTTTCTTGGAGATGTGTGAGGGTCACAGAACTAAAGACATTTCTCCCACTCTTCTAGTCTGGTGTCTAGAATTCCCCACAGCCAGTCATTTTTAGGGACTTTAGTTTTATGCAGGATGTGATACGATTTCTTCTGGGAGGGGATGCACACTAGCGAGTTATAGGAGGGTGACATTTATTGGTAATATTTCCTGAGTATTGTGCCCCCAAAGAGCCTGTTCTGTGAGAATGAGGCCATGAAGCAGAGAGGTGTTGCTCCAGAGAAGAAAAGGTGAAACATCCAAGGGAGGGAGAAGGATTTAATAGGAGGGTGGCTCCTGCCAGACAGAAAGGAAAACAGAAAACCCTTCTAGTGCTAGAAGGAAGCTCTAGAGAGGGCGTGAGGGAGATGGAGGTCAGACGTGTGCGTCTGCGTTTTCCTCCTGGCTTGAATCTGGGTTAGGTAAGCAACCAGGTAAATTATGGTGAATTCCAGATGGAAAAGGATTTTCTCCTGTTCTTGGGATGAAACCCAAGAAAACTGCAAGCCTCTTAGAGAAGCTCTGCTCCTGGCTGGTGCCTGAGAGAGAGAACAGAAATGGGTGAAGGAGTCTGGGCCAATGGGCCCGAGACATCCCCCAGTACCCCTGGTCTTCATCAATGAGACATCTGTGCACCCAGGAGAAACTGGAAGTGCTGGGTAAACAGTGGCCTGGAGTCAGCCTGGGGATGGGAAGATAAGGCCATAGAAGGTCATGATTTCACAGGACAGGCCAACAAGATACCAGTGCAGGATGCTCACAGACAGGAAAGGCTGGACAAACCAGCCCAAGGGCCAGACATGAGTGTCCCCACCCCACCTTAATGCCTGGGTGGTAGTCTGACCTCTGAGGACTTAGGCCACTTTGGAGGGAAGGGCAAGGAGGAGGGCAGAGGAACCATAACTCACTAAACTTGGGCTCTGAGGTAATGAAGTTAATATGGCCCCCTGGGACTGTTTTGGTCAGATAAGACTGAATTACTCATCAGTGGGAATGGGGGCTGAAGAGCAGGATGATTCATTAGAGAACATAAAGTTTCATTTTCTGCTGTAGTATATAATTTCAACTCCAGTCTACTAGCCACAGCAGACACAGGATTCTTGCCCATTGCTGTCCTGGCAAAGGGAAAGAGGACAAAGAGGACTGAGTGGGGTGGTGGGGGATGGCAAATCAGGAGCCTAGAAGGATCCAGGGGTGCTGAGGGATGGTAGGAGGACACTGGCACCCCTGTGTCTTGGGAGAGATGGGGAAGAGGTGCTGAATGAAACAGGGTGGAAGAAGGACAAACAGCTGGAGCCACTTCACACTTTTACAAGGGCTTTGTATCTGGTTATTTATTATTAGCAATAGAAATAATACCTTACTTTGTACTTTCATTTACAAAGCATGTCTACATTCATTACTTAATTTGATTCTCCCAATTTAGAATCATTCATTCCTTCATTCCTTCAACCAACCAACAATTATTAAGTATCTTCTAAGTCTCCGGCAGAATACTAAGGAATGGTATGGTCTCTGGTCTCAAAGGAACTCAGTCTAGTGGAGAAAAGACATGGACATTTCAGGATGACTACAGTGCTATAATAAAGTATGGACAAAAGTGCCCAAGATGAGCCAGGAGAGGGGCCTGCTTACTGTGTGGGGGTTATGGCAGTCAGTTGGGGTGATATCTGAGCTGGGCCTTAAAGGAGGACTAGAATTTTGCTAGGTGGGGGGTGGGGGAGGACATTCCATGCAGAAGGAAGAGATTTGCAGTCGCAGCGGCTTGGACAGATGTGGTTGGTTCAGGCAGGGTGGGAAATCCAGCAGATTGCGGCCCAAGGGGTGTGCGCTGGAAAAGGGGCGGGGCGGGGCGGAGGCAGGGTGCTGGAAGCTCTTCTCCCTCCTTGCCTGCTCTGGGCTCACTTGTTCTTTGTCACTATCTCCACTAGAGGGCAGGCAAGGAAAGGCAGCTGGCCGCAAAGAGGCCAGCCCGTGGCTTGTTCAGTGTGCCTTCCAAGGGCTTGCTTGTTAGTAAAATGATCTTAATTGATACTAATATGTGGAAAAGTGTTGAGAGGTGGTATATTGGGAACAAATATTAATAGCATCAATTCATAACAGTAATGCCAACACTGAACTTTTATCACTTTAACTGCAATAGTCATGGTAGGTGGAAAAAGAAGCTGCCATTTTCGGGTTATGAGACCTTAGGCAAATCACCCTGAGCCTCTGTTCTCTTCTGCAAAAATGTCAGCCCCCCAGAGATACTCATGGAAACATGTAGGAAGGTGCTGAGCACAGGACTGGCGAGCGCATGCTTAGAAAATACAGTCACTGAATCTGCGTATTTATCATGAAAAACAATAAGCACCTTAATTTGTACTTTTGTTTAGAAAACACTCCACATGCTTTATTTGATTTTCCTAATTTTCCTGTGAGATAACTGACTGAACAGGTGGGAATGATTGGTAAAATGAGATTTGTGGTTAAACCCAGGAACTTGAATGTGAGTTGGAGCATTACTGTCAAATCAAAGTACTTATTATTTGATTATCTGGTTTGTGGAGAGAGGTTTTTCCCTTCTTCTGTACACCTCAGTTCCTGTTTTCTCTTGTTTTTTCCTATGAAAATGATAGAAATTAAGTCAACTTGGCTCCTTTTTGTTTAGTTTTGAGAGAATTGGAGTAGGAAAAACATTTAAAAATTTATGCTTTTGAATACTTCCTGACAAAAATATATAGTTTTAAAATATGTTAAAACAAATAAATCACAGTGAAATAAATTACAGGAAGTTAGGACCTCTCTGGTACCTTTTTAAAAAAAGGAAATAGGACACTTAGCTTGAAGAACATGAGATTCACAGGGTTATGACCGCTGTCATTTACTATTTGTGTGCAAACCAAGCAGAAAAGGATTTAGACCGATTTCGCATACCAAGTGGCACAAAGAGGGCTGATGGGTAAAAGCTATGCAAGACTTTGGCTCAGTGTAAGACAGAGGTGGTGATGAAGGCTGGTTAAAGACTCAATAGTAGTAATGAGTCCCCCACGCCTGGAGGGGTTCAGCAGTGGCTGATTACCACTCAGCAGGATTGTTAGAGGATTTATGTATCTGATAGATGGTTACACAGGTGACTTGTACAGTTGCTTCTGACTGGGTTATATCCCCTCCTTCCATCTGAGATAATATTTTCAAGTATGCTCTAATACATTTTTATAGATAGGTCATATCATGAGACGGAGCTTATGACATGATTTGTATTAGAAACTAAATGTTGGATCATTTCAGTTAGGGTCCTAAAGATTATTTAGAAAAAGTATTAAAACCATTTTGTTCCACGGGAATGAATATATTTAGTGGCACTAGTTCTTTGTTTCTGCTGCTTCTAGTCCTATATGAAACACACATATAGAACTGTTGAATCACTATATTATATACCTGAAACTAATATAACACTGTATGTTAACCATACTGGAATTAAAGTAATAATAACAGAACCCCCCAAAGAACCCCTGGAGTTCAGGGAGTGTAAGTGACTTGCTCAAGGTCATGCACTTAATAAGCAAAATGGACTGTGTTTCATTTCCTTAAGTTATCCATATCCCCATAACTCACAAGCTGCTCCCCACCCAGAGACGTGGCTGTGGTTCCCCAGCTGGCTCTTACAGTCTTCCTGGGACTGGTGTCCTGGCCATGAGTCCAGGCCCTGCATCTGAGCCTTGTTCTAGTTTGCAGCCACCGATCACTATGTCTTTGGCCTTCTAGGCCTCACTGGAGCTCTGCTCAAACCATGGGGTATCTTCTGGAGTCAATATACCTTTTCAGAGGTCCTACCATGTGCAGAGGGCATGCAAGCAATGGGGCCTCCCTGTTGCTGTCTGCTTCCACCCCAAGCCCTCAGGACACTGCATCAATCAGTTAGCCCTACTTTCTCCCATTGCCCACCACTGGGTCTGCCCCGCCAAGCTTGCAACCTGGGACGACCAGCACTATCCGGACCCCAGCATCTCTGCATACAGTGCAAACCAAGGCTAAAGAAGACATTTTATGACATGCCCTTTCTGTCAGGCTTCAAAGAGAGCCTGATTAGCACACTGAGAGGACAAGTTAGAGATGAGTGATGACAGGCCAGACTCAGCCCTGGGTAAACACTCAGACCTCTGCCACTCTATGAAAGTACTGTTTAATAAGGTGGATGAATTGCATTGGGAAAAGCATATATCAAAGAATTTTGTTGATAGAAAAACAAACTAGCCATCTTAGCTCGTGATTAAAAAGGCTTGACGTGTGTATCAACTCTACATGCTGCAGTCACATAGAAAGAACTGAAGATGAGTTTTTAGCTTGACTATAGAGTACAATGATCTCAGTGACTCTTGACCTCTTTAGGATGAACGAGGAGGAAATATTTTTCAAGTTTCAAATCAAGAGCTTAGTCTTTCCAAAGTCTGCCTATGGATTTGAGATTCTGATTCCTTCTCACAAAAGCCCTAGAGAGGTTTTCAGTTAGTTCATCCATGATAGTTACAAGGAAGACCATTCCTACTACTGTTCAGATTCCCTGCAGCTCAGATCA